CTTCCTTCCCCACCAAGTTGGGGTGCCTTAGTAACTCCACCTAGTTGGGTTCCTGTCTTTCTCCTCCCTCCTCCTCCATGATCCCAGTCCCTATCTAGCTTCCCTCAGTCTCCTCAAAATGATTTAACAATTGAGCAATATTGTTTAAAACACTCTTAAAATATGCATTCACAAATGTTCAAGTCTCCTCACCTACCAGATTTAAAGTGGCCATATGTACCAAAAGCTGTCTTCTAAGAACAATCCTATATAATAAAAGCCTAATATACTAAGTGTCTGGTCATCCGGTCAGCCATTCAACCAATCAAAGAGTAATATGCTGATATGCTAAGGTTGCTCATGATCTCACTCATTTGTGGAATATAATAAACATAACAAAAACTGATGAACAAAAATAGATCCAGAGATCTCGCTATGACGTGCACTGACCATCAGGGGGAAGACGCTCCAACCGGAGGTTAGCTTGCTGCTGGGGTCCGGCTGATCAGGACTGAGCAAGATGGGCCAGACACGTCCTGGAGCCCTCTCATGGTCCCTCTCCAGCTGGCCAACCTCCCGCGTCCCTCCCCAGCCCCGATTGTGCACTGGTGGGGTCCCGCGGCCTGGACTGCGTCCTCTTGCAATCTGGGCTGAGGGACCCCCCCTGCCCCGAGCACATGAATTTCGTGCACTGGGCCTCTAGTTTTCAAATAAAGAGAGAATAGGAAAGTACTTTATATATATTTTCAGGACTCAGTTGATTTCTGATCTATTATACTTTGTTAGAACAAAAGAAGGTAGGAAAAAAGTGTAAAGATAAAAATATAAACTCCACCCTCCAATTTTCATCACCTGAATAAACTAGAGAAAAGCACCTGCTGACTGTGGGTGCTTTTCAATGTTACCTGTGAAGAGGAGTAAGTAGAGTTGCCATCCCAAAATATGCTTCTTTGGGATATTGATTATTTTAGACTGGTTAATTTAAAAAAAACAACAGACATAGAGAAGCTCTGAAAACCAAGCAGAAGTTACCCTTTGTAAAAGGACATTTATCTAAGGACATTTGTAGAGGAAATCTCAATTTTTAAAAGTGTTTCTCTCACTGCACCAGGAAGCAGAGGCTATCTAAATCTCTAGAATAAGTTGTCAATGAAGAAAGCAAGGACCTGAATCTACATAATAATCTTACTGTTTGCTATGCTATTCCTGCTAACCTCCCATATCTGACTCTTTACTCTCAATTTCTTTTGTCTTTAGCTGAAAGTGGTATTTAAGGTGGTGGCTTCTGACATTTTGATGAGTTATTTTGTTTTCCTGGGTCTCTCCCATCTATACAAGAGGTAGACATGTTATTAAACTTTAACTTGTTTTTCTCCTGCTAATCTGTCTCATGTCAATTTGACTATTAGACCAGCCAGAAGAACCTAAATGGGTAGAGGAAATGCCTCCTCTTTGACAAAGCAAAAACAACAACAACAACAAAACCTTTGAAGTTTCATTTATATTTAACTCTTTTAATAAATGAAGGGCAGATGATCCAAGAACAAAACTCAAGTTATTTTAGGGGGGAAAAAATCAACAATGTTCAAACTTAATTCAGGCAAATCACATGAAGTGTGTTGGTAATTTTGTAACTGCAGCAATTTCCTCTCTTCAATATGACCTTTTCTTCTTTGTTTCCTCTTGATTCAAAATGTCCTTGTCCAGTCTAGGAGCACCATGACTCACCTGCCTCCCTCTTTCCTTGCCTGTCCACTCCCTTAGTCATTTAGCCCTTAGGACACCAGATTCTGGTTGGCATCTAACAGTCTAGGAATAAAGGCTGGGTCTGCTAACCATAGAGACAGAGTTTCAGTCAAACTAAAGATAACTTCTAGGCCCAGTTGTGTTTCAGCTCCACACCCAGAAAGGCAGAACAACCCTACTGACCACACCCTTGCTAGGCCAGACAGAATGGTCCTATGGCTGACATCAGGACCAAATGCATGACCCTAACTCCCTTATTCATCATGATTATTGTTTTCCCCTGTATAACCCATCCCCTAGAAACCACGGGGGAGCCAGGTTTTAGAGAACTAGCTCACCTGTGTCTCTGGGCTTGGTGCCACTTCCTTAGATAAACCCTTACTTTCTTTGCTGCAAACTCCTGTTGGCATTTTATTGGGATTTGATGTGTGCAGGCAAACAAACCCCTTCAGCTCCATAACAATTTTTAGCTTCTATTCATTTGCCATTTTCCAGCCTAATGTTATAGATGACAAAAATATGTGACTCTTGATTTTTATCTCTCAGAATTATTTCACTTCCACAGTTCATACTTCTAGTGAGAAATAAAACATTCAGTCAATATGGAATCATTATCATCATTTTGTAGACGAAAAAAAATTGAGGGGCAGAAAAAGGAAGAAAAGTAAACACCACATAGCAACCCAGTAGCATTCTCAGGGTCCAAACTCTGGAACCTTGTTCCAGAGCCTTTAGTGGCACCCCTTAGGCCACCCCTATGTGTGGGATTAAACACAATACAGAAGTTAAAAAAAAAGTCCCAATTTTAATTTTTATACCAGTCTGAGAGAAATGAATTATTAGCCCTGTCATCTTGGGCAAGGTTCTCTGCTTCAGTTTCTTTACAGGATTATTGTGAGAACTAGATGAATTGTATCATGCATATCTCAGTCTGACACACAATATACTATAAAATTTAGCTTTATTATCACCATCAGTATGATTTTATAAAGACTTACAGTTTAGTTTAAGTCAGCATAATTAAGGAGATCTAGTTTTATTTTCCAACCTCTTAACTGAGGGATCCTTCAACTCCTGTTTGTTAATCAAAATGGAAAACACAATCAGAAGCCTTATTTGGAATCATGGTAAGATACAATATGACACACAGGCACTAGTATCGCTCATGTTTATAATCTCTGGCAGGCTGGACATGCTTATCTAAAAATAATTGCTTAAATTTTAACAGTAACACACCCAACCATGTGAATCTCTTTTCCATATCAATCTAAATTTAGTAATGAGGGAAACTATTCAAAGTTGTCAATGCTATTATTATTTGTATGCCTTCAGATGGGTGGGGGGGATACTCTTTCTGGAGCACTTGACTTATCTTCCTCTAAAGACCATTCAAATGAAAATGACATTCTTGGTATTTATCCTTGGCTCTGACAGAATCTTCCATGTCAGAAATCAAGAACTCCAACTTTAGAAAGCAAGCAATATTTTCAGAGTTAAACAGGTCTCCCGAACAACATGTCTAATCAAATCTAACTCCCCAGAGGCCACGGCTCTCAGTTTTCATCTAGGATCCTAGCAGTTCCCCCACTTTGTACAGGCCCTCGAGAAGCTGACAAAAATAAAAATAAAAAAAAAGGCAAAGTTCTCCTCCCCTGCTGACACGCCATGATGGGCAGTTTCACATGGTAGTGCAGTGAAGAGGAACTGAAGCAAGAGACTGAGAAACAGGCACATCCGGCCACTTTTGACAGGTAATATGGAAAACTCCAGCACTGCCGGGGGGGTTGCTGCCTTAACTCTGTGTTCTCAACAGATTCTGTTGGTAGCCAAGAGGAAGGTGTGGACAGCAATGTGTAGAGACCACACTTTATACTTTTCAAAATACTACCCTCCCTCCAGTTATCTTCCTTTCCCACTTCTCACAACAGCAAGTGAAGTTCAAGAGCAAACCGAAGTTCACTGCTATTCGGCCTTAGTTCCTGACCCCTCACTTCTTTGCACTTTCCCACCACAACTTCACTCAAAGATCCTTCCAAATTCCTTCCAAAGGGCAGCTATTGGATACGCCCTTTCCTTTGAGTCTTAATTCCTATTAGGGCTAAATAACCCCTCCTCCGAAAGTTCTCCTCGTTCTATAAACTATCAATTTCGCAGGGGTCTGTAGCAAATCCCACCCCACCTCGCAGTCCCGGTCAGGTGGGCGGGGCAAGGATAAAATGCAGCAACCCCGCTTTTTCCCGGGCAGTCTCTGCAGGTGCGCTCAGACCAAAGCGTGCTTGGTGCTTTCATGCTGCAGCCTGGCTTGGTTAAGTTCGGGAGAGGGTCCTCTGCGGGCGCACTTTTGAGGAACCGAGAAAAGCCATCGAATCCGGAACACGGCGCCTGGAACCAAGCGGGGCGCAGGCTTTGTGCCGATAGTCGTCCCCCGCAAAAGTGCTTTGAGGTCCCGTTCTGGCCCTTCCAGACCCAGGCCAGCAGAGTCACCCTCCCTTGCAAGTCAATACAAAAAAATCCGCCACCCCTGCAGGGGAGCCGCTTCCTACCTTCTGCAAAGGCCCGCAGAGCTGCCAAGACCTACCCTGAGATCCCTGAGTCTCTGGCGCCCATCCTCCCCCCTCACCTCCCACCCAACCCATCCCACTTCTCTCGCCACCCGCACCGCGCGATCCACCGGGAGATGGAAAGCTGCTCCCCGTGCGCGACGCGTTGGTCTTGGCTCGCGCCGGTCCAGCAGCGGAGCGAGAGCCCCGCGCTCCCCGGCTGTAGAGACAGCGGGAGCGAGGAGCGAGGAGCGGAGCCGGGGCTCCGCCACGCCCCTCCCCCAGCCCAGGGAATCGGGGCTTGGGAGGCAACCCCAAAAGCTCCCCGGGAGCGCGGCGCTGACTGCACGAGGAGATGCCGGGGAAGAGCTGGAAGGAACTTGGGCCCCCATCTCCCTCCCCTTCCCCTAGCTGCTGTGTCCTCTGCCGCGTCCCTCCCCAGGGCCCTGGACGACGTGGGCAGGGGACAGCCGGAAGCAGCTGTGCTCCCCTCTTGTCGTCCTCCCTCCCAAAATCTCGCCCTGCCCTCGCTGGGAGCCCAGACGGGACCGCGCTTTCAGAGGTCGAAAAGAGCTGTATGTAGACGTGGAAGACATAAATTCCCAGCCCAAAACGCCCCAAGCAGCAGTGTTTAGCATTTGGTACAATTGCCTGAAATGAATAATGATCCTCGTGAGTAATTTGGGTTAAAGTCTGCACCGACATCAATGGGCCCAGCAGGGAGCTACGACTTACCCATTACGGAGCCGAGTGTTTTCAGACCTCAGCTGGCCCGGAGCCCCATTCCGAGGACTGCACTGTCAGTATTTGTCCACTGGCTGCGAAGGTTTGGAATCCCATCACAGCTGTGCCACGGAGAGCGTCCAGATCGGGTGGGTGCTGGGGAGAAGCTGCCAAACAATACAGAAAGTTTCACAAACAGAAACCGAAGCCCTGACTGTTAGTAAAGCTGAGCGCACGCCATCCGCCGCCCCCAGGGCGTTCAGCGCGCTGCAGAAGCGCCCTCGCCTGTCTTGGAGAAAGAATCTCCCAGTTACCTGCCCCGTGACAAGCGCAGGTGAGCCAGTCCTGGCTTGCTTAGAAGCGTCCCTTCAACTTGGTGAAAACACACCTTATCGCACTAACTATGGTTCCTTAGCTTTGTTCTTTGTCACTTTCACATGTGGAACCACATCACAAGTATTTGGGGGTAAATTTACCGGTGGAACACCACCCTCCCTGGCATAACCTGGCGGGGAGTTTAAGGCGCAGTACTGCGTAGTTGCTGCTGGTTCGGATGAAGACAGCAGGAACTAATATCGCAAAGCCAGGTGAATAGTAGCTGTCAATCACGCAGCTTCCGTTGAGAGCAGCTGTGTGTAGCTTAGACCTAAACGAACTCTGGACATTTGGGGTTCTGTCTCAGGAGTTCAGACTGACTGGGAAGGGCTTAAATTAAACTAAATCAAAAGAAGTGGGTGTGGGATGTGTGCTAATATTTGTTGAGTATCTGCTATGTGCCAGGTACTTTTCCTAATTATCTTAGGCAATCCTATCAACATCTCTGAGAATAGCAAATCATTTATTCCTGTTTTGCAGAGGAGGAATCTATGGCTTAGAGAGGTTCAGTTACTTGCCCAAGGTCACACAACTAGTAAGTAGCAGAGTCAGGCTTTTTTTTTTTTTTAATATATTTTATTGATTTTTTACAGAGAGGAAGGGAGAGAGATAGAGAGTTAGAAACATCGATCAGCTGCCTCCTGCACATCTCCCACTGGGGATGTGCCTGCAACCCAGGCACATGCCCCCGACCAGAATTGAACCTGGGACCCTTCAGTCCGCAGGCCAACGCTCTATCCACTGAGCCAAACCGGTTTTGGCCAGAGTCAGGCTTTGAAAGCAGATGTATCTAACACCAAACCCTATCTCCACTAGCAAGACAGAGAATAATGAAATGAAGGGACCAAGTAAGAGCCTGTTTCAGGATATGAAAAAGAGAAGAGGAATCAAGAAGATGCCAAGAGAAAGAATCCTATATAATAAAGAGGTAATATGCAAATTGAATGTCACACCCTGACACAAGATGGCCACTCCCATGTGGTCACAAGATGGCTGGCAGGGGAGGGCAGTTGGGGGCAATTGGGCTGGCAGGGGAGCAGTTAGGCATCAATCAGGCTGGCAGGGGAGTGATTAGGGGGCAATCAGGCTGGCAGGCAGGCGAATGGTTGGGAGCCAGCAGTGCTGGATTGTGGGAGGGATGTCCGACTGCTGGTTTAGGCCTGATCCCTGTGGGACATCCCTCGAGGGGTCCCAGCTTGGAGAGGGTGCAGGCTGGGCTGAGGGACATCCCCCCCCCCCCGCCCGCCCCGCCAGTGCACAAATATCATGTACCAGGCCTCTAGTCTTAAAATAAGAGCAAATGTCATGCAAAGTACATCACTGAGTCTACTAGCCAACCAACAACAACCTGTACCAACATAGCAGACTGGACATAGTCCAATGCAAGAAAAGCATTCTTATAAGGAGACTAAGAGATTTTGGACCATGACTGTAAGATCTAGTTAGTTCCCTTTGAAGCCAATTTGAAACTATTTTTTTTTAAAATATATTTTATTGATTTTTTACAGAGAGGAAGGAGAGAGATAGTTAGAAACATCGATGAGAGAGAAACATCGACCAGCTGCCTCCTGCACATCTCCCACTGGGGATGTGCCCGCAACCCAGGTACATGCCCTTGACCGGAATCGAACCTGGGACCTTTCAGTCCGCAGGCCGACGCTCTATCCACTGAGCCAAACCGGTTTCGGCTGAAACTATCTTAACCAAAAATGCCATAGTCTGGCCTGTGAACTATTTATTGTGTGTGGCATCCTATATATTTAAACATACACATAGAACATCTATCCACAGATATAGGAAGCTCGCATTCTGGAAAAGTAGCTCTAAAACTAAAGAAGTTCGAGGACAGACTTTTTCGAATTAGGAATACCCATGGGAAATCTGCTTTGTCTCCAGTGGGATCTGGAAGTAGAATTTCCCAAGTGCTAAATGCTGATGGACGGGCTTTCCAAGATTGTCAAGTTGATTGGTCAGTTCTGAGAAAGTTACTGGTAATTGCAAACCAAGCACCATGCAGGAAAAGCAGAGGCTGGTTTCATTTTATTTTTCATGAGGAAAGTCATCTTCCAGATCAGAGTACCCTCCAAAATTCAGGGCTTGAGTATCAGGAACAACTCACCACTTCATCCAGCCTGGCTCACACCCAGCACCCGTTGGTCATACACAAAGTTCCATTGTGGCCACGACAGCTTCTTAGGAGAGTAGAAGCTGCCCTCCCTCAGGCTTCACAAGAAGCAATTTGTGCCATAAGCAGAGATGTGACCCTGTTTGGGGCCTCAACTGATGGAGTCAGCAAAGGGAAAATCAGTCTCTGTACAAAAGAGGACGGAACTGAGATGAGATAAACTGCATAACAAGCTACAAGAAGGAGCCTCTTGGCATCATTACCAAGCAGCTCTCCAGAGAAGGGAAGCCTAGACATGCCTCAGAGCATGAAAGAACTAAGGGAAGCTGCATTTGGCTTGTCTCAGTTTCTTTTCCTCCTTCCTGTCAGTCTGAAACATCCGTTGTCCACAAAAGGACAAATTGAATTCCACTTACATGAGGAACCTAGAATAGGCAAATGCATAGAGACAGAAAATAGGATAGTTACCAAGGGCTGGGGGAGGGAAAATGAGAAGTTACTGGGTTTTTTGTTTTTTGTTTTTTTAATATATATATATATATATATATATATATATATATATATATATATAATTTCAGAGAGGAAGGGAAAGGGAGAGGGAGAGGGAGAGAGAAACATCAATGATGAGAATCATGGATCTGCTGCTTCCTGCACACCCCCTACTGGGGATTGAGCCCACAACCCAGGCTTGTGCCCTGACCAGGAATTGAACTATGACCTCCTGGTTCATAGGTCAAGCCTCAAACACTGAGCCACACTGGACGAGTGGGAGTTATTGTTTTATGGGCACAGAGTGTCTGTTGCAATGAGAAAGTCCTGGGTGATATACTTAATGCCATTGAATTGTATGCTTAAAAAGGGTTAAAATAGTGAACTTGTTTATATATATATATTACTATAATAATATATATGCATTTTAATGATGTAATACTTCTTTGGAGTATAGGAAAGAAAAATTCTTTCCTTGAATATTAACAAATTTTGCCCTATTTTGCCTTCCTTTAGGGATGTATGAGCCCATTTTTGGGTTGGTGCACTCCCCCATTCACAAGGAAGAATAGTTCTGCCATTTTACTATTTGCTTCTGCTGGTGATAGGTAGTTTGCGGTGTATGAGGCATATTCAGAGATGCCATGCTCTGAAAGAGGCTCTTTACCTTGAAGAGATAAAGTTAACACAAAAGGATTGTGGACCTAGGCAAAAATACTGTTTACTTCCAACCATCCAGGAATGCCAGAGATACAACCCCATAGCTTCAGGTAAATGCTGATCCCAGGGTCAGCCTTTCCCATAGAGATGATAGGGCCAGGAGCATGTGCCTTTTGTCTGATAGATAACTAAACCTTGTCCTTAGTTCTCCTCCTCTCTCTTATTACACAGTTCCCACATTTTCTCTTTGAAGATGTCTTCAGCTGGATTAGTAGAAATCAGAAGCTGCACCTGTTCTGTGGTCTATTTTCATGATCAGCAAGATGGCATACATACAAATTTGGGATCTTGCATGAGTGCAATGGTAAACAGTAATCTGATGTTTGAATGAATAAGTTCAAATAGCAAGTTGTTTGTATTCTGTCTTGCCCTCTACATTGTGGACCTAGGAGGACCTTACTCATTTCTGAATTCCTTCCCCTACAACTCCCTGTCCCAGGACCTAACCCTGTACTTTACATGTTTCAGGTGTTTCATACAATTTTTAATTGCTCACATGGCTTTGGGGTGATTTGAATCCATCCTACAAAGAGGAAGACATTAAGATTATTACATGTTTGGAAACAGTTAATGTATACAAAGCTCAGTTTTTCAATCTAGCATTTAGTTTCATTACTGTAGGATCTGAAGATGGCACCTGGCAGGATAAAGGTGAGGGAGAGAGTATGAGTAAGGGGTGTATGGGGACGTGTGTGGTGTGTGTGTGAGTGAAGGACAGTTAGATTCTGCAGGAGTATCAGGGGCTGGCAGACCAGGCTCTCCTGGATAGGGAGCCCCTGCCACCGCTGTGGGTGCTCCCTGGGCTGCGGGACTTGGGAACAGAGCCCACGCCATCTTGAAGGGGAGAGCGGCCTCCTCTAGGAACCCATCATCACCACCACCCAGACTGGCTTGGACACTGCCTGGGACCCTGCAGCCACACCAGCCCAAGTTGTGCTGCCTCACCTCAGACCCCAGGATGTCCACCTCCAAGGGTGCATGGCTACCACAGCAGAAACTGAGACTTCCCCCTCCCCAGCTGCTGACCTCCAGACACCGCAGTCATGCCAATCCAGCGCATGGGGCCCCGAGCCATATGTTCCGGCAGGCATTTCCTGGGTGCCTCTGTGAGCTGCTGTAAGGAGCAAGTGTACCCAACCAAGGATGTGCAGCTCCCAAAGCAGAAACTGGGACTTCCCCCTCCCTATCAGCAGGCTTCTAGACACCACAGTGGCACTGCTCCAGCATGTGGGCCCTGCGAGCCCACAGCCCCAGCAGACGGCTCCTGGGCCCCTCTGTGAGCTGCCACTGGGCACGTGCCTCTTCAGCCAAGGGCGCATAGCTCCCTCAGCAGTATCCATGACATCCCCGCTTCTGGCTGCCTATTCCTGGACACCTTGGTGAGTTACTGAGGACTCGTCTCCCTGAGCAAGGTCATGCTGTTTCAGCCACACACTCTGAGATTCCCATATCCCCAGCTGCTGGCTTCTGGACCCCCTCATGATTCGCAGAGGGAGAGCACTCTGTCCAGAGTCCCACTGC